CCCCAAAACCCCAAAACCCCAAAACCCCAAAACCCCTTGATTTATAAAATATATTGAAAATAACTCGAAGGATGAGCAGAGCTATCAAAGCAGCAATGACAAAAATCTTTTCATCAAAAGGAAAAAACAAGCTTGATAAATTATTTGCCCATCCAGTCCGAGAGGAACTTCCAAATCATGGGTTCAAGAAGGTTAAGGTGACTCTTTCTATAAATGGGCTATAGGCTTTTGATATTGATACCCAGAAAAAATTACCAGGTATGCCCAACCATTAATTTTGTAGGTACACAAGAGAGTTATGAAGGAGTCAAGATGACACTTGAAGAAAAGAAGGAATTTCAAGCAAAGATGTAATCTTTGGGAAATACTAACGATTTTAGTGAAGAAGAAAGCCAAGCAGAATCTGATTCTACTCGTGATCTCATCCAAGTACGTTGCTTGATATCAACCTGACTTTATAGCAAGAAAAGTTTTATAATGATAACCTCACTACAAGAGTAAAATCGCAGTTTTATGATGAGCCTATCCCTGAAATGGTAACTCTAATGGGTGCTAACAAAGAAAGGGCAAGAGGTATAATTACAGGTTACCAAATGCAGCACAAAGGTATAGCTATTACTCATCAGCATAGTCGACTCGGGAGTGGTTGATGACCACCTCATAGAATCCATTGAGAAAGTACTTTCAATCCATAATTCTAGGTCCATTACGCATTGATTCATGATACTCCAGTGAGGAAGAAATATGTGTTAAGAGTCTTGCCTGATTTCACAATGAAGCTCAACAAGCCACTGGATCAGATCAATATGGGCGAGCCTATCTTTAAGAAAACTTATGACAAAATGCAGAAGGAGCAGGATGAGAAAAAGTCATATAATAAAAAGTTCTTTAAGGGTCGTTAACAAGTTAAAAGCTGTAGAGTTTTGCATAATTTCAGTAGAAAATACCAATTTTTAGGCTTTGTCAGATTCTCCTTTGGCCTACTTGAGGGAAAATATCTTCAATATGTTGTATAATTAAAGGGGTTTTGGGGTTTTGGGGTTTTGGGG